TGATAGCAATTGAGGAAATGGCCCCAGGTTGTGCCAAGGCAGGTTTAGGTTGGACGTTAGGAAAAATGTCTTCACAGAAGGGGTTGTCAAGCATTGGAACGGGCTGCCCAGGGAGGTGGTTGAGTCCCCATCCCTGGAGGTACTTAAAAGACGGGTAGACGAGGTGCTTAGGGACAGGGTTTAGTGGTGGGATGGCAAGGTTAGGTTAACGGTTGGACTTGATGATCTTAAAGGTCTTTTCCAACCTAAACAATTCTGTAATTCTATGAACCTGAAAAAAATTTTGAAGGGGAAATTACTTACTCTACTTTTTCTTCTTTTAGTCCAAAAGCCTTTTCTACGTGGGAAAGAAAGACATTTCAAACTGTATTTAGTTCACCTATTGCAAACTTGTTTCTTGTAATTTTAAGTTAACTTGAAAAAGTGTATTTTAACTAATAAAGCTTTTTATATTACCTACATTTGTTTGGCATCAAACTAAAGTAAACTGATTGAGTGTTCCTTAAAAAAAAAAAAACCAGAACAACCCTCTCATGTTAGACAGGACTAGTCTGACCATTGCAAGTTTTTCTGGAGTATTTCTGTGGGTATCAGAAATCTTCGTGAGCTCTTGAACCTTGTTAAAGAACTAATTGGTTTTCAGTGTGTGAAGAAGTCTGGGGTGATTTCAAGATGCGGGTTCAAAGCTGATTGCTATCAGAAGGCAACAAGCGAAACAAAAAAAGCATTCGGAGAACCGATGAAAAATCTCTTCCTTTCTCAAGTACATCTTTCATTTTGAGTCTTGTGATGCCATCGTCTCACTGAATGTCTAGCTGAGAAGACAGGGCTTGAACTTCTAATGTTGAAAGTCCTCTTAGAGGATCAGCAAACAGTCGTATTTCCTCTTTTTGTGCTGAAAGGGGGAGCAGGGGTGTCTGTGCTTTCTGACAGAAAACGTTTTGGGAGATGCGTTATCTATGTAAAATTTCAGTAAAAATTTAAAAGTGGAAAAGGAGGTCAACTTTTTAATATGGTAATCGAAATGTTGCATTGGGACTCAGGCTGAATAACTCAACTTTCATTTATTCTTGGGTTTAAATAATTACATCAGCAGTGATCTGATAACAAGTTGTTGCTGGTTTAGTCTGTAACAAAGCAATTCAAGAATTTGTGTGTGGTTCTGTCTGAAGTGTTGGGTTGGTCATACGGCAGAGAAAAGTAAACTGCCCTGTTCGTTGCCACGGATTTAAGAAGTCGGGCTTGTGATAGGAGCTCTACTGTAGCTGTGTTTCTCTGAAATAGCCCTCAAACTATTTCAGTTGGAAATCTTCAGAAATCCTGTCCGCTTGCAGTGCTCTGGCAGATGCACGAGCATTTTTCCTATTCATAACTGCTTTGGAGTGCTTCATTAAAATAAGTAATTGACTGCATGAATCAGATTGGAAACTGCAAAGAACAAAGAGAAAATTTAATTCACTCTCTTCTAAGCAAAGTGGAAGCAATGTTCTTACGTGAAAATACCTTTTCTGAAATTCCATCCCAACGGCTGCCTTGCGCGGTTAGCATAATGAAGTCATTTGGAGATCCTACTTCTGACTCTTAAGTGCTGTAATTTGCCGTATGATGATGCCTGGTGCAGAAATAGCGTTCGGGAGACAATACCCATCCACTGAATAGCCCTGCATTTTTCTCTGTATCTTTACACCAGTTTAACTTGCTGCTAAGGTGCTTGCACTTGCAAACCCAGAAAGTCTGCCCTCAGTGAAAGGTGTTGGGTTGCCCTGGGCGGCTGCTCAGAGTCCCCAAGGGGAGGGAAGGCAGAGCCCTGGGAGCAGGGAGGTGGTGGAGCGGTGCTGCGTGTGGGTGCAAGTCATGCTACCCCTCGAGTCCCTAACTTCATGGCTCTTAGAGGTGCCAGGGTAGAGGCTAGCGGGAGCAGGACCTACTGTTCATAAACCACTGCTACTAGTAAGAGCGTGTGATCGTCCCTGGATGGGAAGAGTAGTAAGCCTGGAAGCGATGTAGGAAGTGACTCTTGCAGCAGATCTTGCTTGCTGTTGAGTATCCCAGGGGAAATCCACAAAGACTTCGGGAAGACTTGTCTTTTAATGGGAACTTTTTAAATAATGGGAGTAGTTTTTAATAACGGTGCTGCTTCAGCTCATCGATCCCTTGCTGAACTACCTTGGGTTAAGGTGGAACTTCCGCTTGGGCAAGCCAACTCCTAGTTAGTCCGTGCGGATACCTGGTTGTGGCCGCTCCTGGGTTGGATTGTGACACTCGGTAGATGATAAATCTGGTCCACTGTGCCTGTGAAGAACATAGCTTTTTGTCATCTTGCCTTGGGCCTGAGTTTGTTCTGTCTTGTGTCATTATAATTTGGTGGCAATTTGTGCACGTGTTTAACTTGTTCTGCAAAGAGGTAATACGTATTCAAAGCCAGAAGACTGGAACCACAAAATTGGAGCTATTTCAGAAGAGGTTGTGGTTCTTCACATTTTTGCTGAAAGAAAAAGGGGGAGGGAAGGAATTTTTAAAATAGTGACACGTCCTAAGCGTTACTCCAGGGGGCGATTTAGGAATTGGTTTTGCTAGTATCGTTTCTGCTGTTTGCCAGGGTTCTGTTATTGCCATAATGCCCTACCTTTCTCTCTTGGTACCTTACACGAATTCTGAAGCAAAGAAGCCAGCTGACTTTATTAAATAAAAAACTTCCCTTATTCAAAGCAATGACTAATATTCTGGAAGCGTTTACATCGTTTTTAAAAAGTTATGCTTAAGCCATATGAAAGAGTGCCTCACGTTAAGGGAGTCTGTGCCGAAGTGGGCTGCTGTCGCCTCTTAGGTGTTTACCATTTGAGATAGGAGAAGCGAGAGGAGTCGCCTGGTAGCCGGCGGTGGTGCAGTTTTGCCAGTGCTTCATCGCAGGAAGGTCGGGGAGCGTGGTGATGTTGTTCCGTAAGGTATTCGATCACGCAGAGGCTATGGACTGAATGCTTACAAAGGTATCATGTTTGGCGGGAATTTTTTTTATTTGCCGTGGCATCTGTTGTGATGGTGTGCCTCAAGTTACTCTTTCTACATTTTAGTAAGACTTTAATCAGACTTTAGTAAGGCAAAGAGGAAGATCTATAGCAGTCTGTTTTATTGGTCATGCTTGCACTGTATTCATGTAATTTAAAAAAAAAAAAAAACAAAAAAACACAACAAAAAAAACTTCTTAAAATTTTGCCCATGCAATCTGTGCTGAAATATGTATCAAACTGCAGAAGTTTGTTCTCAGACGCTTCCTTGTTAGTTATTTAAGAATCCAAGAGGGGATGATCCCAGGAAATTAAAACTCTTGTCTCAGTGCTGTAATTGCCCTGTGATACGATCTTGTGTTGAAATGGTATCTTTCCTCTAGATGAAACCTTCTGAGCTATTGCACAGCATGGGTTTTTTTTATAAAACACGCCGATTGAAAGTTTACAGCTCTGCAGAAGGTACTCGAGTTACAGCGAGGAGGAATATTCCCCTCGCAGCTAATAAAATTGTCGTAATTTCAAGGAGGCTGCTGCAGTCCCCACAGCAAAAGCTGAAAGCTGCTGCTTGTGTTGGGCCTGATGGAGGAGGACGAACAGGTGGTCAGGGTGAGGAAGGAGAGCTGATACGCGGCGGTAATTACGTGCTAATTAAGGAGAAGGGGAGGGAGGCAGGCAGATGTGGAATGTAAATGCTGTGGAAGAGACTGACGGAGAGGAAAGGGAAACCTGGGGGAGCCAGTGGTCCCTGGGTGTCGGTGAGTGCCCCCGCGGTGGCTCGCCAGAGAAGATGGCGGCTGCGGGAGGAGCTGGTGGGGCCGCGCTTCTGGGGCGCGCAGGGTGCTGCTGGCCTTACCCAGTAGGGTAGGGTGCTGGGGAGGTGCAGAGAGCCCCCCCCCCTGCCCCGGTCCTGCTGTCGGCTTCACAGCTGGTTCCTGTCGGCGAGGAGAGGCTTGGCTGCTGGGGGAGCATCTGTCCCTAGCACCGGGACCGTGTTGCAGGGCTGGAGGCTTCACAGCCTGGCTCTTCCCAGGGCCGCAGCGGGGCTGTTGGAGCCAGGGGTCGGCGGCCTGCCTGTAGCCGCAGAAAGGGCGTGTAACAAAATGAAATTAGTATCACAGTGGTAACACCGCACACGCTGTATGATCTGTCAATTAATTTCACGTGCCTCAGAAATGTACTGGAAATTCTGGAGATAATGTCCTTAATGCTAGCTCCTACCTCACTTAGTTTGATTTTATTTGAAAAATACATTTATGTGAATAGAGGGAGGCTGGGAGAATGGACGGCGCAGACTGTTGCAAATGATCACATTACCACAGCCTAATGAGTTAAGGCAATGGGAACGGGCCTAAGCTGCTACCTGGGTGGTTTTAACTGCTGGGATAGAAATGAATGCCTTGTCAGCTGCCGTCGTGCATCAAACTGGTAATAAATTAAGTTGCAGAAACCCAATGCTTTGGGAGCATCTGCCAGTTCATGTGCTTTTCTTAGGGCCTGGTACCGTGTAACGGTGCTGGTGTCTACCATAATGTCTGCTACTTCTGTTTTAAAAATGACTAGCAGAGAAGGACTTGGATACTCTACATGGAAATACGGACTTTAGCAGCAATACTTGGGAGACAGTCAGGTTTTTATTAAGTCCAGCTAGTCCCTGAGAACGCGTGAGAAGCAGCTGTATACCAGCGCTCATAGGCATTACTGTGCAGATCTAAGTGGCATTAAGGCAGGGATTTGTACAGCCAAGAAGCTCTGTGCTGTAGGTGGGGTAAGCAAGAAAATACGATGCAGATGGAAACAACTTTTGCCCTTCTGTTACTTCTGTTGAAAGGAAGAAAGCAGGGGAAAAATACTAACCACCTTTAGTCAAAGGATTGCTAGGCTTTTGCAAACGTGTATTTGTTGTTTTTCATTTGGGAACAGCGTTAACTTCTTCCACCCCATGTGTAATAACAACTCGGGGGCGGGGGGGGGGGGGGGGGGGGGGTGCGCTAAATTGGTTCGATAGTTGCCTCTGTGAACCCTTACAAGAGCATCCCGGGACTGTACGACCGCACCGCCATGGAGCGATACAGCAAGCACCACATGGGAGAGATTGCACCTCATATCTTCGCTGTGGCGAACGAGTGCTACCGCTGCCTTTGGAAGCGCCACGACAACCAGTGTATCCTCATCAGGTTCCCTGCCGGTGAGCCTTTCGAGGTGATTTCAGAACACTGATTTGGGCCGCATGGAGAGGAGAGTTCCAAAAAGAAGCAGGCTTTTAAACCATCAGAATTTTGGGAGAGGTTTCTGAACTTGGTCTGTATCATTCTGCTGACCTCTAACAAAACGTTAATTTTTCTTATGCAGCTTATGCTTTCAGTTAGTGAAAAAATCTATTGTATTTTTGTGCATGTTTTGCTACTCACACATCTGATTCTATCCTAAGTGCTATTCCCACCGGTTTAAACATCCCTGTGCAGCTCAGGAGTTTGCCACCTCTAGACCCTGAAGGATCTAATAACCCACTGGTCTCGAGAAATGCGGTAAATAACAATAGCAAAAGAGAAAACCCTTCTCATTTAAGCCACTTAACTGCTGGAATAATCTTCCTTACTTTTTCTCACTGTGCTTTAATTTAATAGTGATTTAACAGCTTCCCATTTGATCCACTGTGTCGCTGCTATTGAGGATCTTGCTGCTGCCGAATGTACGTGGAGAGCAGTGGGCATTTCAATAGCTTTTTACTGCTTTCAGCTCCTCCTTCCTTCTTGCTCCAGAGGAGCCAAAAATGCAGCCAGCTCTTTTCCCTTTCCCCCGCCTGCCAGCTCAGCTGCGTTGGCTCCCAGCAGGCAGGGAGAACCCGAAGCCTTGCCCACCGGATCGGGAGGAGCAGCACGGTGGCGATGGCAGCGTGGCATCAGGCATCGGGCTCTGGGTGGGGGATGATGTTTGGGAGAGCCTGTGTTTCCCTTCCCTCTCCTTTTCTCGCCTTTGCAGTGTTTTTGTGATTTAGCCTGTTTGCTTTCAAACTTCCTGCAGCCTACCAGCACAAGTTAAATGTGGAGAGCCCTTCAGGCACAAGATGACACGATTTTGGCTGTCTCCTGGCCTCCATGGCACCCCTTGTGACAGCTGTGGGACCATGGTATGGGGCAGCCATTGGGGCAGAGAGGGGGCAAGGCAGAGAGCAGCACCTTTCGCAATAGGCAGTTTCTACTGGCATTTAAAATTACAGGCCAGTTTGCAAGGCTTCCTGGATAAGAGGAGGATTTGGCACGTGTAGTTCAGCACCCAAGCTGTTGTTAGAAATGTGAATCAGATGCAACACGGCTAGGTCTGGTTCCAACTTTCTGCAAGCTCTCAGGTTGCAGTCCCTGCCTCTGCCCTCACATCTAGGCAGGTCCTGCCTGGCAGTGGCACCAAGGCAGAGGGATCTATGTGTGTTTTTCAGCTTTCTTCAGCTGTATTTGTCCTTTTTTTTTTTTTTTTTTTAAATTTAATACATAGTGCTGTACATATAAAGCCGAGTCCAGGAAAAATAAAAAGCAGGGAGATCTTTGTCATGCAAAAACAGGTAGCCTGGAGTCATGATTTCATAGTATAATGTCAGGTAATACCTTGTGAATAGCCCACATACCCAAATTTTGGGGACCAAAATAATTTCTGGTGCCTAGAAGGTGGCTGTTGTTATTTTTGTTAATGCCATTCTGCACTGGCCCAAGTATTTTACCTTTCCTTCCAGTTCCCCACATGCTGCCAAGAGAGAAGCAGGTTGTGCCCTAAAAAGGACATAAGTAGAAGTTTCTGATGTTCCAGAGGAGTCTCCAGCAGTCCCTGCTCTGTAAACCTTGTGCCTTGGTACAGATAAGCTATAAGATGGAGAAGTTTTGCCTTAGCATTCCCTTTTAAAATTGTTTTCCGTGGTCATGGATTAAAACAAGGATTTGTATAAGTTCAGTGTTTCAGACAAGTGCCATAATACAACCTTATAAGGGTATGTTGTTTCTACAGAAATTGAAGGAACGTGCAATTCAAGACAAAAAATAGTCAAATCTACTTTCCTAAAGCCGTTATCTGTTCTATCTCTGAAGGAATCAGAGCAGGATATCTTTAAACTACTGAAGGTTCTCAGTGGCCCTCATGAGGTTTAGAAAAGTCCCTGTGATCATATACGTAGTTCGGCGCATCAGAAGTAGAGGTATAACAGTGTGCTCATTATCTTCGGCATCCTGGCCATTCCTGTATCTTTTACTGGCTTAGAATTAGATGTTGCAACAAGACACTGTCAGGCTTTCTTAGTTACTGCTGGCGTTTGAAAAAAACCCAGTCAAGTGGACCTCTATAATGTCTGAATTCAGGCAGATATTCTGTTCTTGTATTTAATGTAAGAGATGATAAAAAGGAAAATTTTGTTCCATCACGAAAACACAGTAAACAGTTACATCCAGTTAAAATGAGTGAATTCTTCATGTAGGCTTCTTTCTGATACAAACTCTTCACCTGCTCCTAATTTTGGGATCTAAAAACTCAGTAACAATTTGTAACAGCCTCGTGGAATAAGGTAAGGAAGGCTTCATGACAATCCTCTGGACTTGAAGTGCCCCCTGCTGGCATCCAGAATTCACTCAGCTTTGTTTTAGAGCTGTTTTCTTAAGGCATTGGGTTCAAAAACCTGTGAAAAAGCTTCTACTGTTTCAAAATGCTTGGGATATGTTTCTGGGTGGGGTGAGATGAGAGGGTTAAGGCAAGAACCTGAATTAAAAGCTGTCTTCAGTAGTGACTCAAAATGTAGTACAAATGCGAGACCATTTTTCCAGTATAACCACTCAGACCAGAGGTGAAAAGGAAGGAAATACAGAAGAGACGATATTAAATGGAGTCATTTGAAGATGCTTATTTATCAGTCTGTGTTACACACGTCATTTGTGATAATGCTGCATAAAAATGACTTAGCAGCCTAAAATGTCAACAAAATGTCACACTGAAGAAGTCGTGCACAACTTGTGCATTAGAATATTTACAGTTGTGAAATGGTATTTTCACTCTCCCAGGCAAAAAATTGCTTATCTGGCTGTTGAACTAGAATTTTCATGTAGACAAAAACGTCTACATCAGTGAATGCTCAGTTTCATGTTGATCTGAACCTTACATCAGAGTCCAGTTGCATTTAAAACAGGAAAAAAAAAAAGCCCACCATAGTTAAATTCGATGCCACAACAAAGACTTTGGAAAAAAAAAGCACATCATCATCTGATTTTTCAGCTGGGTGCCGTGGCAGGAGCTTGAAGGGAGTCCATCTTACTCAAGGAATAGCCCAACAGCTTGTCCTGATGTAGGGAAGGGACTGAGTTCCCCCATGATTAGCTGATGTTTGCAAGTTGGGACCAAGTTCAAACTTCCACCCTTTTACTGTAAGAACAGGGAAATATCTTTAGGCATTTTTTTTTGTTGCTGCTCTGTTTAAGGTGGTCTGGGCCATGCACAAGCAAACACATGCTCTTCTCTCCGATACAACAGCAGTTGATCCACTTTAAAGCACTCAAAAAGAAGTGTAGAGCAGTAGTCGAAGGAGCGGCAACAGTCACCTTGAATTACATTCAAGTCAGTGCTGCGAGTGGGAAATCACAGTCTGGCACCAGTTTGTGTTCTCTGTTATCATCTGATGGCCTGACATTTTTGTTACTGTTATTCAGCTTGAAAATCGATGTGAACCAAAGTACTCTTTGGATGAGCCCCAGATTTGTGATGGGAAGACGTTCTTACGAGGCTGACGCACCAAAATTCACGTGTGTCGAAGAAGTTTATTTGCTGAAGAGGCCCATTTTGTCTGGGTGTATCAGTCTTTGGGGTTTTAAAGCCAGCAGACTGAACTGAGAAGTGATTTAGAGTAGTGTTGATAGCTCCTCACTCGTGTTATGTCCTTCAGAATGAGGAGTCTCTCTCGGTGACCCTTTTTTCCACTGCAGCAGTCTGGAGTCCAGGCTGCCTTTAAGCGAGATGCCCTGCATAGAACAAATCATGGCAAAAGTCTAAAGATCTCCTAAGTGGGGGCCTTGTGGGACACTGTCACACTTAATATATTCACAATACTGAATGTAGTGATGTGGAACGAGCTGGGCACTTAAACTCATGGGGCACAAAGGTTGCTGGAAAGGTTGGCTGTGCACTAAGAAATTCACCCTTTCACTGACCTTGGCAACTTCTTGTGGGCACAGGCTTTCTAAGGAGTCTGAAAGATTGATCCCACTTAACCTACCGTTAGTGTCTGTACTGTAGGGTTGAATAAACAACTTTAAAGTTTAGCATGCTTGTTCTTGATTTTCATCTCATTAATAATAACTGTCTTTTATAGAGCATTTTTTAAAGGAAAAATGCAGAGGCAACTTGATGCACATGAAATATTGGGTCCCGAGCTAAGCAACACCATGCAGGGGTGAGATCTTACTGTCATGCTAGAGGGCTCCAGGAACCCGTCCACTCAGTGCTCAATAGTAGTTGTAAAACTAAATAGAATAGAGCGGTAACTAGTTAAGGAATAGAGAACACTGGGTAAATGCATCCTTTTCTCATATCTGGAGTGGTTTTGCATGAGCCTTTCTCCCCCCTTGTTTGATATCCAGGAGGACTTTGTGGAACTGGAGGTGGTTCAGAGGAGAACAAAAAGGAGCGATCGGAAGCACAGCATGGCTCCGTATATGGGAATGGCTAGTGGAGACGGGCAACTCAGGCTGGGGAGGCTATCCATGAAGTCACGCACAGCAGAGAGAGGGAGTGCTGGGATGAGTCGTTGGTTTCTCCTTACAATACGAGAACTAGGGGGCGTCATGCCAAATGAAGCTAACAGGAGGCAGATCTGAAACAAGAAGACATGTCCATACGCTTTTTAAGGGACCATGGCTAGAAACTCATGGAAGATAAATGCATTGAAGGTTACAAGACACGCAGAAACCAGGTTTGGATCAGGAACTCTCTGAACAGCAGATATAACTGGAAGCTGGAAGAACACAGAAGGGAAGTATCCCATGTCTTCTCTGGGCATCTCCATTTGGCAACTGTCAGAGATAGGGCACTGGGCAGGTAGATCTTTGGCATGACCCAGTTCTGAGCCTCTCCTGTTCGAAGAAAAAATCAAGAGCGTATAATTGTGCATAATACCAACTGTACCAGAGATAGGCACAGGAAGTATTTTTACATCAGCTTTGAATATCACACTTGTAGAATTGCTCTTGATTGCGATGGGGTTACTCTCAGCTTCCATGGAACTACAGATGCTCCAGAGCATGGGACAGAGGGTGGGGGCAGAGGAAGGATGGTGTCAGTGAAAGAGCTGATGTCCTCCTTGGCACCCATATCCCTGCTGTTGAGCTATACGCTGCTCAGAGGGTGAGAAATTAGGCAGGAAGAGGTATGTATCACTTGATGATTTTTTGCACTAGACAAGGATAATATAAGGGTTTGTGAAGCTCTTTCAAAACTAATAGTAGAAATGTTTTGCTAATCCTTTAGTGTACAAGGAGTCAGTATTAAATACGGGGAATATTAAATATTTGCTTTGTTGGCAAAGGAGCACGAGTGGGTGAGGGCCTGCAAAGAGAAAGGGAACAAATACCAAAAAGGCCAGACACCAAGGGTGTAACTAAATTAAAAAGATGGCAGAATTTGTTTGAGATGGTATAAGTACAATGGATGAATCATACTTGCTGGAAGATATCAGCGGATAGTATATCTTGTCTGAAGTTTTATGAAATACTTTAAAGACTCTCTGATGCTTCTTGGGAAACGCTTATTTCTCACCTACAAAACTCTCTGTCTCATGATGTTTTCTGAATGCCTTTTCCCTGATTATTTTTGTAATTGTTGGCATTCCTTTGCAGGAAGATGCCATGCTGCTTTCTTGGGCTGTACCTTTCTTCTTCGCTTTTTACTAGAAAGCATCATTATACTTTGCCGTAACCTAAAATCACCAGGGTCACCACTCAGCAATGGCACAACAAAAGACTGTTGAATAAACTAAGCTTGCTGCACATGCCCAGTTGTGCTCCATCAAAGTCAGTGACAAAACTCCCACTTGCTGCAATGAAAAGGATGGGATAAGACCAAAATATACCTGCTTTCATTGGGAGTCAACTGGAATTAGGCACAGCTTAATTAGGAAAACTAGGAATTAGACTGCAGCTTAGGATATAATGCTATGACTTCAGATGAAAAGTAAGCAAACTAGATAAACTTTAACCACGAGTTATGTTTCTTAATGGCTCACAGTGTGTTTTTAATTATAAGGCTGTGTAACTGAAGGAAAATTATATTGGGCAAATGAGCCAAATTTATACCTTCCCTTTTTAGAGCATTGGTTTTGAAGAGAAATTGGGTATATTGCCTTCTGTTTGTATCAGCAAGATTGCTTATTAATAGTTTGCTTTTAAAATGTCAATTTAGCATTATCAAATAGCTTTGTTCTGCTATGGGTGAAGATGAGAGGTTTTACATCTCTGATGGTGATGAGAGGTGGAAACTGTATATTTTGAACTCATGTGAATATGGTCTATTTGGGTGGGCATATAAAACATATGTTTAAAGAATATGTAGCTCACTAAGAATATCAGTATTAATTATACTAGTAGCCTTTTTGTGTTATAATGTGCATTGGTGTCTATAACCTCCTCTTCCTCACAGCAGGTCTCTCTCCTCAGCTAGATTGCTGCAACATAATCCCCCATCTTTTCCAGCTTAATTGCTATTCTGGATTTTCTCCCTGACCATTGCCATGCCTTTGTTCTAACTTTGTTTTTCCACATTGGTGAGAATCATTGGGTAGTTGTTTGCATTCAGAGAGCTCTTAGTAGCCTCATGGGTGTCCTGTACGTCCTTACACCATTAATGCCTTGAAATGCTGTCTGAACAGTGGTATGAAGTCTCAAGGTAGCTCGCATTTTGTGTCGAGTGTCATACTCAGCAAGCTTCTGCTGCCATCTGAGTATCACTTCTAATTGCCCTGGTCTTCCTGACCACCAGTAATTTAGAGTTTGCAGGGCTGGCCAGACAGAGGCTTTTCACCTGGCAGCTGGAACCATGCAAACACTTCCCTCCTCATCTTCTTTCAGTGGCGAAAGCGGTGCTGGTAAGACGGAAAGCACAAAGCTGATCCTCAAGTTTTTGTCTGCAATGAGCCAACAGTCACTGGAGCTGTCCTGCAGAGAGAAGACCTCATGTGTGGAGCAAGCTATTCTTGAGAGCAGGTACTAGATCTTTCAATACACGGGTATTTTTTCCAGAAGATATAAGCCTTGTCATTGAAATAAGAAAAATTGCAATGTAATTGAAGATGTGGGTGTGTTTACTGAACAACAAAATGAATATTGGAGAGGGGGAAATTTTCCATTAAACAAAATTACCTGGCTGCTCTAGAGAGTTGTGAGCACAGTGGGATATCTTAATGAAGCAAAAAGACATGGAGTTTTGAAATGGACAATGTGTTAGTGGAGGCTTTCATTTTTTGGGGGGGCTGAATTCAGATAATCAGAGTGAGGGAAATGGCTGATGGGAGGGAGAAACCATTGGTTTGGTTTGCACAGGCTGACGATAAGGTAGAACAAGTTACAGCACCGTGAGGATAAAGTGTGCAAGAGGTAAAAGCATGCTGAGGAAAGGGAGGATAAGGAGAAGTGATAAGACAGATGAATAAATGCATCAGATAAATTGGACATTCTACGCAAGCAAAAAAAAATCTCTGTGTTCAAATGAAATAACGCATGGTTCTAAACTATTTAAAAACAAAGGTGATTTGAAATGCTATTACTTTAATTTATCATGCTTCGTCTCTGTTTTACCTGTAATTATTTTTTTAATTGCCTCAGGACAAGGACTATTTTCCCTA